AATGATAATAGGTATAAATTATAGAGAAAAAAATTTAATTGGGTCAACTTGCAGGTTGATCCGTGACTCGTGATGGGCGGTTTAGGGTCTGCCTTCATTAACCCGTGATCTGTTTTAACATAACTTGTTTTGACCCGTTACCCTAACCCGACCCAACCTTACCATAACCCGACCCAACCCGCCCATTTGTCAGGTCTATTTGTGAGTGAATATCATTACCATGTAATGGTGTTTTTATTTCTTTTTTTTTTAATTGATTTTTTTATCCTGTGCTTTCATTTTTTTTAATATTAACCTCTCGTTATTTGATGATTACATTGAATTCCGACTAATTCAGAACCAAACCGCATCAGATTCCATTTAAGAGGAAACTCTCATAGCGCTTATTTTTTCATTCATAAGACTTGAACTAGAGATCTTATTTAAGGAGAACCGAGTTTTTTCTATTTAGATCAACAAGTCGTTGGTATCCTATGCTTTTATGGTAGAGTATAAAGATGTATTTATTATATTTTTTATTATTAATCATATATTTATTTACATAAAAAAATAAATTAATTAACATTATTTTTAACATTTATGACACATAAATATTTTTTATTGGATAATTAATAAAATTAATATTAACTTTTAATTTTCTTATGTGTATTAATAATAAAAAAGTACAATAAATGTACCATTATTCTATACCTTAAGAGTATAGAATAAAAAAATCCTTCTTTAATTATATGCACACTATACTTTTAAACTGACTATTTTTATATGTTTATCTATTAATATAATTGAGAAAAAAAAATCATAATATCTAATAATAGTCACATGATAAATTTAATAAAATTAAGACTACATTGTATCCCATACATTTAATGATTGTAATTGAATATTTTTACATTTTTAATATCAAGACGTCATGATTTTTCCTTTTTTTCTAGTATAATTTTATGATTTAAACTCTTAATTACAATCTATACATATTTCAAGATTAACATTTCTCAAGTTATTTTAGGTGTATCTTCATCTTAAAAATAAAAATTAACTTTTTAAAGTATTATCTCTAATATTTAAATTTTCAACCAGACAAAAAAAAAAGCACTTATCAATAAATCGCATTGCTTATTATATCATGAAGATTTATGCTCTTCAACAGGCTTTGGGGTAAAATAGGTCTTCACATCACTTGTTTGATACGAAGAAAACAAAATGTATTCAAAGTTACTAATGCTACTTGCCTACTTCTAAGATTACAAAATTTACAAAATTACGAAAATGAAAAATAGGGAGAAGGAAAAGAAAATTGAAGAAGATAAAAAGGATAATGAGACTCGATGGGCCTTAAAGAACTCACTCAAACTTAATGGATTAAGGACATGGTCCAATAAGCCCAAACCTATAAACCCAAAAAATAAAAAGAGGAAAAAAAAATAAGGTCTCTATTTTACACTATTCACAGTATAGACATTGTGCACTATCACAGGGAAAATATTTTTATATAATTTTTTTACATAATTTTTGTATGTTAATTGTTGAGTATATATATTGAATATTATAAAATTTAAAGAAATAAAATAAGTTAATTATTTAATTAATATATAAGATTATATTAAAAATAAAATAAAAAAATTATTTTTAATTTTTTTATAAATATTTAGTAATAAAATAAAAATTATTTGATAAAATTATGGAAAAGCCCAATGGCCAATATTGAAAGGCCGGCTGTTAATAAAATAGTGCTTATTGTGCGAACCTAATATAGTCTTTTTGAAAGGAAAAATAATGTACTCCCCTTTTAATCCAAAAAAATAAAATAAAATTTAAGAACGGTTTACCTGGAAGTAGCTGTGTATTGAAATGAGCTTTGAGTTTAGAGATGGAGGTGTACTTGCAAGGATCTCTAAATTCTTCCCTAGCTCATGTTTTCTCTTCGATTAACTTGCAAAGTCCCACAATTGATCCTAAAGATAAATATTTCAATGTTTAAATGAGTAATAATTAAGTCTACTAAATAAAACACAAGAATTATACTTGAATTTTCAGGTTCATTAGCGTCAAGTCACGTATAAATGTATTTTTTCAATTTTAAGACAACGATTCGAATCCGACTCCTTGCAAATTTGTTAAAAAATAAATAAATAAATAAAATAAAACACAAAAATTAAGTTTAAAATTTATTTCAATTACCTTTTGAGAAATACATTAAATGGATATTTATAAGCTTTAAAACAAGTATAGAAGGAGGAGCTCGAACTCAACTGAGCTCATCACAGTTCAAGCAATGTATAAGGCCCATTGGGGTCATACACCCGAAATAGTTTAGTTCGTACGAGGTCATATACCTCGGACTATCATCACAGGAGGAGTAGCGATCTAAGCTTCGAATTGTATTGAACCCAAAACTTCTAAAACCCCTCCTCTCTGGAGAAAGAAAAGAACCCAAGTTTAATCTCTGTGGAATTGTGAATTGGAATGGAAACTCCTCCTCCTGAATATCAAACCCAACTTTTTGGCTTCCAAGGATAGAAGCTACAAACCCATTTGGTGTATTCTCTTGATTTAGATATTCTACTGGAACCCAGTTGCTCTTTCTGAAGTTCTTCCTCCTTTCTTTGCGTTTTCAGTTGTCTGTTAACTGTCCGACGTATTGTCTAGCTGGATAATTATTTTGTTTTTCAGTACTCAAGCTATCACTCTGCCATTCTTTTCCCGTTCTGGAGAATGTATGGGGTGGAAGTTGTGGAGCCATTTATTGAACTAGTTTGCCAGCTGCATCAATAGACTGGGGTGAATCTGCAGGGGTTTGATATTCATTATTTGAACTTTTATGTTGCTTCATTTTGAATTTGCACTGCTTGTTTATAGAATGGTATGCAAATGAGAAGACTAAGGAATGATTTATTATTAGAGTTTAGAAGCTTTGAGATGGCTCCTATTCTATTGTTAAAACCAAGTTTTGCTAACCTACTGGTTGGAGAAAGTCGCCAAGTCTCTCTGTATTGAATTTACAACATTAATTATTGTTAATGTTCCTCACGAAGCATTAGCATGTTTATTGATGAAGTTTAGCGTTGCCGTGCCTAGAAATCTGTGTTGTTGTTTCTTAATGACCAGTTCAATTCCTGTATCATGTGGGAGTTCTTTCTTGTTTGGCTATCTACTGAAAGAAGTTAATAGAGTTTTTTAATTTTCATCGTAAGGTCAATTCTGTGATGTGAGAGTACTGTTTTCTTGTGGTGTTATGTGGTGCTTTCTTTAAGTATACCTCAATTTACATTCTCGATATTTTGACCCTTTCTTTGTTTTCATTTGTTTGCATTACGACGTTGTGCTGGGTGAAAATCAAAGACATTGGACTGTCATTTGTTGCTTTGGGAGGTTTGGCGGGTTGTTGGACAGTAACAGAGAGCCAGTAGTCTAGTCTTGGCATTATGTGTCTAGTTATTTTGCTTATGTGCGCAGATTGTGTCTAAGAAATGTTGTTTCATTTTAATCAAAGAGTTGAAGATTCTTCAAGATATTCTTGATGGTTATCATGTCTAATGGTCAAAAGTGGCAGACCTAACTTGCTGTTAATACTCAATGTTGGGTGATAGTCATGGTCACTTTCTTTTTGCTTATGAATGATTGGTTTTTAACATGTTTTGTCTACAATTATCAATTTAAGTTCTATACTTTTTCTCTCCTTTTGAAGTGTGTATGATTTTGGTGGCCCAAAAAATAAATGTGTATGACTTCAAGCTAGCATCTAGCCAACTTTTTAAAGGTTTTTACATGAAATTCTTTTACTGTACTGGAAAAAATATTCAAGGGGGCATTAGCTAATGTCCTTCCAACCTTCTGCAGCTCACAAATTTGCTAAGGCAAGAAAGAGAAATTCCAGCACAGCAGAGATTACAGCTGAAAAGGCAGGCCAGAACGTCCCACAGAGGTGGTTGGTGTTCGTTCGGTTCCTGTAGTTCCTAAGGTAGTTGATGTTTCTCCTGTTCCTGCTACAATTCCACCAATCCCTGAGGAAACACCACTCCCTCCAGCATTTCTGAAGCCCGTGAAGGTGCCAGAGCCCATCCCTGAAGATCAGCAACGTGAGCTTGTCAAGTGGATACTGGGAATAGAAAAGAAAAGTTAACCCTAAGAATCGTAAAGAGAAGAAAAGAATTGATGAAGAGAAGGCAATCCTCAAACAGTTTATCCGTTCAGAATCTATTCCAAGAATTTGATTCACAATTCTCTTCTTGCCCAAATTTCAACTAAAAGCAACGTACCTAGGATGTAGAAGAACAGTTTTTCGCATTTTGGTGCTTCTTTGTTGTTACATTTTGGATTCACTGTTAGTGTTTATGCCTCTTTTGAAAAATTTAGCCTTATTTCTTGGTAAATGGTAACCATTCACCACACCAAACAGTTGGACATCAAAAAATAGGTCAATGCTGTATTTAAGCAACCTTGTACTGATAACTTGAGATCGAGCTGCTTAATTAATTTGAATCTAGCAGTATTATTGAAATCCCTATGTGGTAAACAAGAAATGGAACAGATGGGCTTCCATTTCATTCTCTTCTTGGAATGTTGTCTGCGGCAGGACAGCATGTGCAAAGCCAAGAGGACCTAAGAACTAAGTAATATAATAAGTAAGACAAAAGCAGAGATTTGGCTGCAGGGTCTTTCAGATAAGAAATGAGAAATAAATAAATTGTGGGTCCCTGTTATGTTATGTTATGTTTCCTTACCTTTCCTTCAAGTCCAGCCACATATACATTTTTCCATCTAATCTCACTTCTCAACTCTCCCAGCTATACCCAGACTCTTCTTTGAAGTGTATTCATTCCAATTAACAAAATTGAAGCCAGTTGAGTCTCCAGTTAATCTGTATTAGTTCTGCTTTGTACTTGGCTTCGATCCTTACTTCAGAGATTTATCTACAATGCCAGGAACCATCCAAGTCTCAGGTAGGGAGAGCTGTTCTTTTCAACTGTAATTCAAATTTGGCAGTTACTCCCCTCCCCCTTCCCCCTTCTTCTTTCCTCACAGTTTCTGATATGACTCATTGCAGTTCTAGATTTCAAGGGTTTGCATTCATCCTCTTCATCCTCACAAATGTCCATAAAGGGTAAGCAGTTACCTTTTCTTCTCTATTGTTACCCTATTTTCTTTTCTTAATGAATACATCATGCAAAGAAAAAACTTTATTTGGATTTTTTCATTTTTAATGCAGTCTCCCTCGGGAAAACAGAGTATCAAACTTGGGACAAGGGGGATTTCTCATTGTAATGATTATGAATCTCTTCTCTTGTTATGATACGTGCTTTTAGACTTTGAAAATTTGCATATGAATCTGAATCTATACTCTTTAATCTGGCACCACACAGTCCACTAACAACCCTTCGAGACGATTTGATTATAACACTTCAAGATGCTGAAGGAAATGAGATTTCACATACAGGTCTATCCTTAAACTTGTTCATTTGAATTTATTTTCACTTAGATAATGGGCCGATAGAGAAGATGATATAAATGTTGGGCAGGCATTGGAACCAAGATGATAGTTGAGAAAGGTATTTGGGATGAGATATTTCCCCTTGAAGGAGGTGGGCATGTACATATGAAGTTGCATTTTGTTCTCAATGAAGAAGAGCGACAGAGAATCCGCGATATGGTAATGTTCTTTTACTTGAGTCCTTCAATAGAGCTAGTTCTGCTACATGTTTTATATATGCCTTCAAAGAAACAATGCTGTCTGTAAAATAGATGGCATAATGGCTAGCCTATTGTATCCTTATTTGAATCCCATGATATTGTTAACTACTACTGTTTAGCTGTCGTTTGAACTCTTTTTGCAGAGAGAATCTGCCTTGAAGAAAAAGCATGATGAGCTCTGCAATAGGAGCAAAGCAAGTTTAGGAAGTGCTTCTGTTGGTCATAATGTTGCAAAATCCATGCATATGAACCAGGACGTTTCAGGTTTGATCCTGCTTACTTGGCAAACTTGTTCTTTATTATTATTATTATTGTTATTATTATTATTATTATTATTAATTTTTAAGAAGGATGAGGAGAAAACATAAAAAGAAATAGAACTTGATAAAACTATTTGCATAACATGAAAATAGGAGACATATTTGTCTTGTGGAAGGCTTTTTCTTGATGTTCTGAGCACTCCATCTTCTCAAACTTTCACAAGAAAGCCATCTTCTTCAAAGTATGAAAGGCAGGGAAGTGTATCGAAATTAAACCTCTTGACTCACTACAATAATTCAAAATTTTATGTTGACATCAATGAAGTAAATTGGTCTTTTTTATAGAAAAAGAAATGCAGTTACAGTTTCATTGACATCACACTTTGGACTTTCTGCTACTTCATAGAAAAACTTGAAATGCTTGGTTTTCCTAATGTTCATTTCACCTGATTTAGAGTGGTACAGATAAAAAGGAAAGCTCATCAATCACAACAGATAGTTCTAGCAAACTAGCCATTTCTGTAAATCACAAACTTGTTCCTCTCAGAAGGGAAGAAGATGTGGCTAGTGAGCCCAAGAAGCTGGGGCCAGTGGAGAAAAACCATAGCAATGTAAGGAAAATGATAAGTGTCTTTGAGAGTAGTAGTCTGTCTCAGGTATATCAAGTATGTTGCTTAGCATTATTTTTATCGTCTATTGAAATTCGAGATGTTTTTAGTAAATCTTCTATGTTAATGAGGATCTATGGATCTTGATCGGTAGCAGGATAAGAAAGTTGTTGTAAAACCTCCACTAACAAAATCTGAGCTAAGAAAGACTGGGATTGACTCCATGGTAGGAAGTTCTCATGTAAATGAAATTGGCATAGAGAAGAATGTAGATGCATTATCAAGTTTAGACAGGTTTAGAAACCCTTCTATTACTAGCCAGCTTCAACAAGACAAAACATATGTCTGGAAAAAGGGAAAGCAATATGCTTCAAAGAATAATTTCAATGTGGTGCAGAAAGAAGTCGGTGACTTGAGGAGGGCATCCAGATTTGAGAAAGCTGCATTCTCCGGTAGAGAAGCTTCAAATGATCATAAGCTGAATTCAGCTGCATTCTGGAATGATGACAGATTTTCTATTGTGAGCTCTGGTCTTTGGATATTCCCAGATGAAGCTAAATGCTTGTGCATAACAAGCGGAGGCAAAAAAATGATGGATTTATTGGGTGATATCTGGACTGAAACAAACACTTATCAAAGGAAGATGGGTACTTATGAACCAGAAGATGTAGGAGAGGTATTTAAGATGCACCATTTAGCACTAAGGTTCCTCTAGGCAGTCTTCATTAAATCATTTTGGGTTTAATTATCTTATGGTTCCTTTCATCTTTGTGGTCATATTCCATATTGCATCTAAAAATAACAGGTCTTAATAAATGAAATTTGTATGACGTTTCAAATTTTGCATAATTTGTTTGCCTCATTTTGTCCAAATTAAGGTTCATGAAGCTGCTGCTAGTGAGCTTAATGAAGAAAAGAAGTCCCCTGGGAAGTTGAGAAAGCCGAGTGAGAATTCAGCACATGCAGAAGATTCCAGAGGACCAGTTGGACAGGTCATACATTTTCTCTTCACTAGCCTAACACAAACACATCCCTGTTATATCATAAGGTGTTGTAGAACTGACAAAAGGCATATCCCTTGCTTTTCCCTTGATTTCCATATGGCTTCCCTTTTGCATATCCCAACCATGTAATAGAAAAATCATCTGAGGAAATGCTGTTATTGAGTCTTTTTTTTTTTCTTCACTTTTCATCTTCTCCTTAGGTGCTGAGGATTGCAATCATGGTAGGCTTTGCAGCACTAGTTCTCCTAACTAGACAAAGAAAATACAGGTATTGAAGTCTCTGTTAAACATGTTAAGCCTCCTCATATATGCATTGGCTGATATGCATTTTCTTTTTTAGCATTGGCTGATATGCATTTTCTTTTTTATGATCTTCAGATAAAGGATCAATAAAGGAGGGATTGGAATCATATGATGAACCCTCCACTGCCCGAAAAATTTGTCCATAGGTTGAATTCTATTGTGATGTAATAAATCACTGATTTCTATTAACTTCATAAGCAAAATTCTATTGTGATCAATGCCGACTTCATGTAGCTGACCTGTGGTCCATGGGGTTAACATGTGAGTATGATAAAAATTCAATACTTAGACAAATTCAGTGAAAATAAGAAAAATATATATAAAAAAACTCATGAATCTAATATGTTAAAAGTGATATTTAAAACATATGTCGTAAAAATCTACTTCTTCACCAAGGCTTTAGATGTATCCATGAACTTGTACTAAAATAAAGATTTTGCTTCAATAATTTTTATTAATTTCTAGATTTTTTATAATTATTTTATATAAATTATTCAAGCAATGCTATTATAACAAAAGTTATGATTATGTCTTTAAAAAAATTGTTATACAATCTAAATGATTAGAAGTTATCTTTCATTTAATAATATATGTTTTTACAATTTAATATCATTTAAATTGTAAAATAAAAAACTCTCGTATATGATACAAGTTTTAAAAAAGGCAAAAAGTTTGTGAAAATAATTATAAATCCATAAAAAGATTAGTGTAATTTGCAAATGGTCCAATATATATATATATAATGCAAAACCCTAGCTCCTCCCCCCACTAAACCCCTCGTTTATTCTGTTAACAGCTTCAGGCTTCAGTTTCTCCCATTTGCAATATTCCGGAATGGCTCGCACGGTCAAAAACCCTAAGAAGGCCAAGAGAAAGAACAAGGTTCGACCCTCTTCCCAGCTATGCTGTCTCTTAATTCTGCTTAATTTGGGCTTTTAAGATTGTTTTCGTGTGTTGTCTGATGGCAGGGATCGAACAAGGGAGATGGGTCGTCATCTTCTTCAGTGCCGTCGATGCCGACTAGGGTTTGGCAACCGGGCGTCGACAAGTTGGAGGAAGGAGAAGAGCTTCAGTGCGACCCCTCTGCTTACAATTCTCTTCATGCTTTTCACATTGGCTGGCCCTGTTTGAGGTAATTTGATTCCATTTTTTGTGTTTGGTTGTTGTAAAGTGGTGAATTTGAAATTTTGAATCGTGGGTTTTGATTATGTAAAGATCCCAGAAATTATAGAATAGAAGTGTATTGAAAGCTCATAATTTGGTTCTCTTAATTTGATCGCCTTTGGCAGCTTTGATATCGTGCGCGATACATTGGGTTCAGACCGGAAGGACTTCCCACACACGGTTTATTTCGTCACTGGAACTCAGGTGAGCTTCATTTCGTATCTTTTAGGTGCTATATGACACTCTGTGTTGTTGACTGTTCACGTTATGCCGTAAACTGATAATTCTGATGAAAAAATCTTTTATTTATGTAATTTGAGGTGGCATATTTAGGTTGTGTTCTCGTCAAATGACCTGTTTTAGTGATTTTTCATAAGATGAAGGCATTCCAAAATCCTTTTTTAGCTTAGCTTTTCTTGTCAAAAATGTTTTGATTCAATACTGAAGCTTCTCATTTTAAAATGACATCTAAACGGTAGTTATTTGAAGTCCCTCCTTAAAATTTTCTATTTATCCACCACCTAAAGCATAAGTACTCTCTCCCTTGATTAAAAAAAAAAGGTAATTCAGATAAGGACATTAAAATCTAACCAACCCCACTATGAAATCCCACTTAAGAATCCTCCATCCAAATGCAATTTTAAGGTCCTTTAGTTAGCATGGAGATTTTGTTATTTTAGGTTTTAGTGTCTGCTTGATTTTGCTACCGATATAGCTTGTTTCTGTTTAAGGGTTTCTTTTTTCCTTTCATTTTCTCTTTTTATGTCTTTACTCACATGCTCATACATCTGTTTTTAAATAGAAAAATCTGAAAACTTGTATAAGTTGGGGAAGACAATGCATGCTGGTCAACTATTCTCCTGTTGTCCTTTGATCTTGTCATTTTAATACTTGTTACGGATGTGCTTCCTGTTTTGTCTTCTGCAGGCCGAGAAAGCTGCTTGGAATTCTATTGGAGTATTTAAAGTCAGTAATGTTTCCGGGAAAAGACGGGAACTAATTCCTGCTAAATCTGAGGATGACTCTGATATGGAGAGTGAGGGTGATGATAGTGAAGATGAGGAAGATGGTGGATCTGGCACACCTGTTTTGCAGGCAATTTCTTGTTTCTGTAAACATCATATTCATTTGTTGACTGGCATTAGTTATGCTTATATTCTTCACTTGTTTATATGTGCAGTTGCGAAAGGTAGCACATCACGGTTGTGTTAATCGTATACGGGCCATGACACAGCAACCCCATATATGTGCATCATGGGCTGATAGTGGTCATGTTCAGGTCAGACTTAAAATAAATTGTAGATACTGATTTTGGTAAGCTAAATGACAAACTTTTAGATTTTAGATATGAAGCATAAAGAAATATAAGAAAATTGGTTATCTCATAATGCCTTGAACTCATGAAAATGAACTTGAGAATCCAAAAAGATAATTCCTGCAAGTTAAAGTCAGCATTGACCAAATAGATTCTATTTCTCAAGTAAAACTTGTTATTTTATCTGTTGGACTCTCTTTTTTATTGCAGGTATGGGATTTAAGTTCTCATCTGAATGCTTTAGCTGAGTCAGAAACCGAAGGTGTCCAGGGAGCTTCTTCTGTTTGTAATCAAGCTCCTTTAGTTAATTTCCGTGGCCACAAAGATGAAGGCTATGCAATAGATTGGAGTCCCATTGTTCCAGGAAGGCTTGTAACTGGTACTTCTGAGTAGTTATTTTCACAAATTCTTGGTTTGTTTTTTTTTTCATAATTTTTAATTGGTTTGCTGATAAATAAGATCTGTATACGCTGACATTTTTCTTTTCTTTCCTTTTTTTAAGGGGATTGTAAGAACTGTATTCATCTATGGGAACCTACCTCTGGTTCTGCATGGAATATTGATGCCACTCCATATATAGGCCATTCTGCAAGTGTGGAAGATCTACAAGTATGAATTGCATTTATGAAATAATGGTTGCATCTGTTTGGAATGTGAAAAGTTGTTAAACTGTGTTCATCTTGTTTACCTGTCTAGTAACCATTTTGTTTGGTCCGAATTCTGTTCATGCAGTGGAGTCCTACAGAACCTAATGCATTTGTCTCTTGTTCGGTGGATGGGACCATTGCAATTTGGGATACCCGTTTGGGGAAGACACCAGCAGCTTCCTTCAAGGCACATGAGGCAGATGTAAATGTTATCTCATGGAACAGGTATTTTGGTTTCACTGAGTTTAATTACCTTTGCAATAATATTGGTGTCTTTGTGTATAAAATTAATTGACTTCATACATGCATGAAATTTATCAGGCAGGCTAGTTGTATGTTAGCATCTGGAAGTGATGATGGGACATTTTCTATCCATGATTTTAGATTGCTAAAGGTATCTCTTAAACCTTCAGTATCATCCCTCCAAATCTCTACATTGTCTTTCTCAGGCATTGCAACATTAATATTATTGATTATTGTGACCAATTATGTCTACCTAGATATCATTCATTTTGCATCACCATCTTGTTAATACTGATCTTAAGTCTTTCTATTGGCAGGAAGGAAATACTGTTGTAGCTCATTTTAAATACCATAAATACCCTGTGACATCTATTGAGTGGAGTCCACACGAAGCCTCCACTTTGGCTGTTTCATCATCTGATAATCAACTAACGTGAGTATATAAAACAGAAATTGGACACCAAGAAGAGTGATAAGACTAATTTTCCCAAGTAAAATAATGAAAATTTAAGCTCCCTTCATCTCTCTGTCGCCTCTTCACCCCCATTTTTTCTTTTTCTTTTTCCTTTTGTTATCTGTATTTGAATTCAATCTCCCTTTTGCTTCTGTTTGCAGAATATGGGACCTTTCCTTAGAAAAGGATGAGGAAGAGGAGGCGGAGTTCAAAGCTCAAACAAAAGAGCAAGTAAACACCCCTGAAGATTTACCACCTCAGCTTCTCTTTGTTCATCAGGTATCTCATTTTCCAATTTCGAACAGAATATTCTTCCCAATTTAGCTTCACTGGTTGAAAACAGGCTGCTGAAAATTTTGAAACGTCATTTTAACATTAAACAGGGACAGAAAGACTTGAAAGAACTTCACTGGCATACTCAGATTCCAGGGATGCTTGTATCCACTGCAGCAGATGGTTTTAACATCCTGATGCCTTCGAACATACAGAGTACCATCCCCTCCAATGGTGCTGCTTAAAATTTGAGTTTGGTCAATGGAATGCTTCCTTAATAGAAGCATGGCATATATTTGATACATGCTCCGGATCTCATTGCAGTGATGTTAAGAATAAGCAGCTTTCATACATGTACAAAATTTTGGTGTTTATGCTTCTGTATGGTATTTTTTGGTAATGTATTGCTTTTTGCTCCCAAAGATTTTTGAAAGAAAGAGTTTGGTCATGAGTTGCTTTTTCTAGCCCGAAAACCCATCTCACTCATTCTCATTTATGCAACCAATAGCAACCCAACTTGATCCAACTATTGGGCAGGTTAGAACAACAAATTATTTAATTTTGTTAATTGTTATTAAGTATTTCTATCTATTAGATTTAATGGCTTCATATTCTCTAAAGGGTACTCTTACTTTGTATTGTTAAATGGGTTGAGATGGAACTATATAAATGAGAAAAACATGATAGGTTGACCAAAAAACAACTCATGATTATGGTAAGTTTTATTTTAGCCATATCAAGACGCATGCTGACCTTCGAAACTAACTCAAGTGATTAAAATTACAAAATTAAAAAGTGAATGACCAAGATTAAAATTATTATTAACTTCAATGTGCATGGGTTTAGTCCAGTCCAAAAAACTTGCAAAGTAGCAGCATGCTATCACGTTTCTCTAAAAAATTGATCTAATAAACTGCCATAAATTTTCCTTCAAAGCACCAACAAATTGAAGAACAAGAGCAGGGAGAAGACAGGAAAAGCCAAGAAAAGCCAAGGACTAATTGGAAAGCACAAATAAAACGCTTTTTATTGATAATTTGGCTGGACAAAAACGATTTAAAAGACATTAGCCGGGGCAAATTATACACAACACCCAGTTTGGTTAATACAACAAAATTCAGTCAGGAAAAATAACATTTGAGCTAAAATTCTCTACCTACCAGATCTGCAGTAACGTGTGTAGATGAGCTCAACTAAATCATATATATAATCAACCTGTCTATTGCTGTCAACAGTACACACAACAATCTTTTATCCTCTCCACAAAGCTAATTCTATGAGCTTACCGGCTTTCCATTTAATTTTGGGAAAGGATCTTGCTTGCTTAAAACAACTACCTTACTCTTGTGTGCGAAGTAGCCTTTCACAAGATTTTTGTAGATTAGAATGGTCATTATACACTCGACCTACAAATTGCAATAAAGAAGAAATATAAATCCCCATAACCAAAGCCAAATACAAATGCAAGAGAAATGCAAAGAAAAAATAATGTACCTCATCCAGATCCATGTCCATCTCAAGCCATTTCAATGCTTTGACAATTATTTCCAACTTCAACTGGTGAGCTTTGCTTGGGTCCTTTTGCTTTTGGATAATGTAACTGCAAAGAACAAGCATGTGATAAAAAGAGGCCCCTAGATGCAACTCTTCATCAAATTATTCTCACGTCATGTCATTTTACTTACATTTTCTTTAGCAGTCTTTGGTACACTTGGAGCTCCAGCTTCTCCAGAACAAGGTATACACCGGATCTTAAGAACCTGATGAATAAAAGGAATGAAGTTACAATATCTAAAATTTAATCTTGCTGATTACAAATTTGGATCAGAAAACGTGAAAGAAATATACTGATCTTCATGCTCTTGAAGAGCACGGCGAAGAAGTCGGAGATCCCCTCTTTTTAGAGCTAGGACAACATTGCTGTACTGTAAACAGAATCATTGCTAATTATTAGATATTTAAGATCCAGCTAGAGCAACATTTACAAGTAGCTTTTCTCTTTATGTTAATTTTATCTATTTTTACAGGAAATGATAAACATAAAAGGATAACTCAAGTGCAAAGGCAGGACATGAAATAAGACAAGTCATACCTCAAGGAGGTCATACTTCTCTAGGAGACAAGATTTGGGTAAGATGCCTAGTGAAAGCTTCACAGGTATCAAGTACTTCAGTATCATCCTACTCCAACAGAACCAAGAACAATGAGAACCAGATGGCGATGAACATAATTTTTAAGCCAAAGGATTTGTTTGGATAAAATGACATTTGGGAAGGATTTCATGACATTGAAGAATTTTAAAATCCTTTCTAGGAATCTAAAATAACTTTTCATGTGAAAAAATATGTTGGTTTTTAATACAAACGCTTTATCATTTTAAAATGAAATCTATGAGGTAGTTCTAGTTCTTCCAAAATCCCACTTAAAACTCTACTTATCCACTTCTTAAAGCATAAACTCTCCCTCCCTTTAGAGAAAAGGGTAATTTAGATAAGGATTTTAAAATTCTTCTGCACTATGAAATCCCACTTAAAAATCCCCCATTCAGATGCAACCTAAATGGTTCCCAGTTACTAGAATCCACTTCTCCCTCAAAAGAGAAAATGAGGAGGAATGAGTGGTTTTGGTGAACATTTAAAAAATCATTAACCAGACATCTCAAAAAACTCTAATTGATGATGATACTTCCATACCTATATCATATATATTGGGATGAAAAAATAAGGACAACAGAAGAAACAGACAAACTTATCCCACAGGTATGAAGTACCATAGAAATGAAAATTGATTGAGCATATGTGTTTAGGGCATATAAGAAATATAAAATTTATACTAGCACTCTATTTCCTTTATTTTGGGGGGTAAATTAAGACTTGAGTGACACATTACAGCTTGCAAGATAAATCCATGTGGATAAGCACATCATTTCAGCAGACAATAAAATTCCACTATGGATATTATCATGATTTTTCCAAGACATGGAAATAACTTAATGTCAACAACACCAACATTTTCCTATGGAACAACTGGTGTAGCTTGTCTATCATGCAGATGCAAGACATATGCAGCAAGCACACCTGAACCAAACCTTATATTGGCTTCTTTGAGAAGGTTGCAGTGAGTCAAGGCATATGACAGTTTATCATCAGCCTGCCATGTTAGAAAGGTAAAAATCTATAAGAGATCAAAAATCCCATTATAGCCAAATTTTAAATCTAAATTGAACAAGATCCAACTCCTGCTATTCAAAGTTGAAAGACCAGAAAAATTTAATAATGAGAAGCTTGATTCTAGTTATACATAGTGGCTTTTACAAGGCATGTTTCCAAATGCAAAATGCAATGTAAAACCTCCAAAAAAAAAAAAGAAACAATTACATCTCCATATACAAAAGGCATGTCTTTATCCAAGGAGAAATTATAGATAACTTACAGCAGTAAAATTTTCATTGAAAACTTCCAATCGACCAGTATAATACATGTATGTGACCTGGAACAGCATACAGTTACATCAATAGTTGAATGCCAAGAATCTATTTAGAGGGGCAAAGAAAAGCATATTCCTTACTAATAACAATCTTACCTTGTCTCTTCTAGGAAATTCCTCAAAATCAAATATTCGAGCAGTTTCAATGCTTCTTATGACACTTCGGCAAAGGTGAACAGTGCCAAGCTGCAGAAAGTAATGGTTAGGGTAAACAATTTAGCATACCACTTACTATATAATCCGTTTGCCCAAAGCTAAATTCTTGACACACATAAAAAAACACAAGGGATTGGAGTGAAACAATGAAAAAGAATGAACAAAAATACAACTATTACCTTGAAGTAGATTTTAAATAGTTGGCAAGTCACATATAATGCCCCCACACGTTTTGGGCCTTTTCCCTAGAATCAACATGCCATTAAAAACATGCAAGAATGTAAACTATACAAATTCGCCAAAAACATAAAAACACATGCAGTCTAAACAACTTGTTAGCACAGTGATAGAAAGTTGCCAACTTTTGCAGTTGGTACCTGAAAAGGGAGTCATTCAAAATATGAGAGGATTGAAAAGAAATGAAATTTATTAAAGAAACATACAGCAAGAACACCAAAGACTTTCATGAGGAATGAACCAGCGCCCTTCAATTTCTCTGGTGACTTCCCACTAGATGCCAATTCCCTATCAGCCTGCAATTGGAACATACTTCATTTATTCACCTGAAGAATAAATATATATCCAAAAATACAAAAATCAAAGGAAAAACTAAAAAGTTCTGCAATCAATACCTTCTCAGCAAGAACCCTAATTTCATATGCAATGACATGTAATGCTTCCAATGCCCAAGCTGATTCCCAATTTCGAAACTCCTGAACAAAAGCACTGTAAACCACATTTCATTGTCAATATCCCATCACACACATCTCTAATTAATTAAAAAAAAAAAAATCCTTGAACATCAAGAAAAAATAATAATAAAAACATTAAAAAAAAATGATTACTTAGAAGATTTTTCAAAGGCGTGATAGGCGTCAACCAAGTTTCCAAGTCGATAGTTTTGCAGGGAACGGAAAAGAGGAACAATGATTTCGGCGAACTGCGAACACTTATCGGACTGCTTTATCAACCTATTAGCATCCTGTCGAAACAAACAATCCACTTGATTGACCTCTGCATTCAAAAGAGAACGGAGGATTTTGTACAGAGAAAGAAAGACTCGAAGAGGACCTGAAAGACGTTGAGAGCGTCGGCGAGGGAGAGGAGAGAGGGGGAGTTGGAGGAAAGGGAGAGCAGCCTAGCTAGGGAACCGCCGTCTTGCGAGGAAACGGCATCCGCGAAGCCGTTTAGGTATTCCGTGATTCTCCGGTGCACTTCTCCCATGCTGATGTACGCCATGGCTTATGCTTCGACTCCGATCAGTAAGAGCTTCAGCTGCGACCCTGCGACGGCTGTATCAGAGGAGCAGAGGTATTTTCTCTTGCGGGTCGGGTTCCGATTCCAGTTGGAGAGAGACGACGTCGTTTAGGTTTCCCGGCCAAACTAATACTCGATTCTAGACCGTCGATCCTTCAATCGTTTGTCTAGGTGGGACCCATTACAATTTGTGCCGTACACGTAGATAATCTGCTAACAGCCGCCGTTGATATCTGTCCAATTTGCCTATTTTCTTAAAAAGGTTGCAGTGGTAATCTTTGTGGGGTAAATGGAAGGGTCGTCCTTAATTTTTAAGAGTTTTTTTATTAGATCCTCAATATCTTAATTGTAGTAATCAGGTCCATATTCTTTTTAATTTACTTTATCTGTATCTATCAAGTCAATTAATATTTTTTTTTATCAAAAATTACAACTCAAGATGTCATTATATTAAAATTTTCAAAATATTTAATTTCAATTATGCAATGGATGAAACTTTAATGAGATTTATAAAAAATTCGAGCTTTTAACTTAGATTAAATATCAATCTAAGAGAAATGAGGTAGTTTTGCTACTTGGGCCATCATCTCTAGATCCATCACACCTTTATTTGGCCAACTATATTATACTAAAACTATCTAAACTAGACTATTATATGTTTGAAATAGTAATAATGGTAACTTTATCAAAAAAATTTGAAATAAAAATAACAAGAATAGATGTTGATGTTTTTCATTATAGAAAATTATAACTAATTATTTCAAACACAACGAATCTTTCTTGTCACTACTATGGAAGTACCTAGATTATTTTTACTCTAATGGGTGGGGAAAAAAATGTTGCAATGAGGATCTAAGATCATTAAAAATAAGGTTGAGGCCTTGATGATACCAATTCAAAAGTATTCACTTCAATATAATATGTTTTAAAGGTTAAGGACCATGAATACATATTCTCCCAAATCAATTCTTCCATCTTTCTTTCGTTCTTCGTCGGGACTCCGATTGGTCCACTTTACCTCTTCTGAAAAGTCTTCCTCAACAGCAGACTTTCGACCAACCATTGCTGCAACCACAAAGAAACCGTGTATTCCACTCTAGACTCTTCAATCCACCGGAAATACAATTCCTTCAGATTATCCTTGAATTCAAAGAACCTGATTGCTGGCTCCATTGCAGGTAACGGCCGAATCATGGGTTCTGATTTGCTGCCTCAGACAAAGCCATTACCGGTTCCAACCCAAGAAGAAGATCCTCCGAACCAATCCACGGCTCTTCTCTCATTTAACACAGACTCCTCTTCTGATGACTCATCCATGAAAGACTATCCCGGCGGTAGACCTGCCAAGGTTGTCTTCATCTCTCTCGTAGTCCTGACTTGCATTGCCTTCTCTGCTGCCTTCGCCTTTGCTTTTCTCTTCTTTTCCTCATCTTCCACCTCGCCTTCCTCTGTTTCTTCTTCTTCTTCTCCTTCTCCTTCTCCTTCTCCGGTCGTTACACACGAGGTGGCTCTTCCTCTCAAGAAATTGGAACGGCCGGTTGTTCTGTTGATCTCCTCTGATGGGTTTCGATTTGGTTACCAATTTAAGACCCCGACGCCGAATATCCACCGCCTGATTGCTAACGGGACTGAGGCGGAGATGGGTTTGATTCCGGTTTTCCCTAGCCTTACTTTCCCCAATCACTACTCAATTGCTACTGGCCTTTATCCTGCTTATCATGGTATCATCAATAACCACTTTGTGGATCCTCACACTGGTGAGACTTTCAGCATGGGAAGTCACGAGCCGAAGTGGTGGTTGGGTGAGCCCCTCTGGGAGACCGTGGCCAATCATGGGTTGAAGGCTGCTACATATTTTTGGCCAGGAAGTGAGGTAAAGAAAGGTTCTTGGACTTGCCCTGAAAAGCTTTGTAAGTTTTATAATGGTTCTGTTCCTTTTGAGGAGAGAGTTGATACGGTTTTAAGCTATTTTGATCTGCCTAGTAGTGAGATACCTGTGTTTATGACTCTGTATTTCGAGGATCCTGATCATCAGGGTCACCAGGTTGGACCTGATGATCCGGAAATAACAGAGGCAGTTGCAAGAATTGATGGGATGATTGGGAGGTTGATTGATGGTCTAGAGAAGAGAGGGGTTTTTGAGGATGTTAGTATAATTATGGTTGGTGATCATGGGATGGTCGGTACATGTGATAAAAAGTTGATTTTTCTGGATGATTTGGCTCCTTGGATTGGAATTTCAAAGGATTGGGTTCAGTCCTACAGCCCATTGCTAGCCATCCGGCCACCTCCTGGTTATGCTCCATCTGATGTTGTTGCAAAGATGAGAGAAGGATTGGAGTCTGGGAAAGTTGACAATGGAAAGAATTTGAAGGTTTTTCTCAAGGAGGAGCTGCCTAGTCGGTTACACTATGTAGCAAGTGACCGGATTTCACCAATAATAGGGCTGATTGAAGAGGGGTTTAAGGTGGAGCAGAAGAGGTCGAAGCGACAGGAGTGTGGAGGAGCACATGGATATGATAATGCAATTTTCTCCATGAGGACCATTTTTATTGGGCATGGTCCTCAATTCCCCAGGGGGCAGAAGGTACCATCCTTTGAGAACGTTCAGATATACAACTTGGTTACTTCAATCCTCAAGATACAAGGAGCTCCCAACAATGGGTCTGCATCATTTCCTACGTCCATTCTTTTGCCTAGCCAGTAATAGTTACTTTGTAAGAATGTTCCAAGGTGGTCTTAGCTGCAGGATGGCACAGCACTATAATGTTGGGCAGCCCACAGGTTGAAGGTATTGGAGAGACATGATTATCTTGTTGCCTTCACATGGCTGTGAATGAATGAAGACAGTGCAGAAGGTAATCCTATCTGAGATCTTAGAATCCCTTGAGATTGTTGAGTCATTCATAGTTTTAGTATATATTCCTCATTCAAATGCTACATTTATGATGAATATACAGCTCTGGTCTACTGACTTGATGTTGTACAATCCTTTTATTATCCTTCTCCTTGTAGAACAAAAACACCATATGCAGAAGTGGATATTATTCTTAGATTGTCCCTTTACATTTCCTACGCTTTCTTCTAGCTTAGACAACCAATAGATTGCTCTTTTAATTTGGTATCAGATTGTTGCGTAATTGCATTTGCTTTTGAATCTTGGACATCTTTGTAATTTAGTTGCAAATTGACCTTCCTAAGTTCCTGGTATTCTTGAAGTCTATTATCAAATTTCTCATTTATATTCTTCTTCCTTTTTTTTTTTTTTTTCGATGAGCTCATTTATATTCTTTTAAGTACAAGTAATTGTTTGATTTCCGACCAAAAAGAAAAGAAATTTTTTGATTTACAAGGACATGAGGTTGGTGTCTCAAGTTGTTGCATTTGTACACATGAGCGTTAAGAAAGCATAGACTCCCTCCCTCTCACAAGGGGCAGAAAATCATGCTGTACTTGCTTTTACTTCAATTTGTAATGAATGTGTTTTGAGTTGTACAACTAGCATGTCATTACCGTTCATATTTTGTGTCTGGAGAAGCACATAGTCAGCATCACATGGGCTTCATATGCTCTGAAGCAAACCTTTAAGGCTCTTATCGAGGTTAAGCCCATATGATATGAAGCTTTTTGCCTTTGCCATCACTCTGTTGTGCATCTACAAGCTCAATCACATACTAACAAGGAACCCTAGCACGTGATGATGTGAAAATGATTGTCAAATCTGTTCAATGTGTTTACATATCATCAAATGCACGATAAAACAGTTATGTTAGAGCATAGAAGTTGTTAGAATTTCATGGCAAAATACACTGTATTGCGTCCAAAGTAGGTGCTTAAGTGATTAAAAACTTGAGACTTTAAATTAGAAATTTTGAATTCAAACCTTGAGATAGGTGGGGAACGATAAGGGAATGGGAGGTCTATCAAAAAAATCCCCATGTTGTACCTACTTTCTAAGGCTTAGTTCTAAAGCAATACAAACTCGCTTTCGTAATTGTGGCAGATTCTTGTAGTGAAAGAAGTAGTTGAAATGTCATTTTACATGTAGACTTAGCATGAAGGACGTATCTCACTCATCCCTCTTCTTCCATTCTTATTTCTGTTTCTTAATGCATTTTTAAAACTTTTTGGGAGGACTAGAAACTGAAACCATGAAAAATTGTTGTCATGGAAACGGGATTAGGTACAGATATTGAATCTTTAACCGAGTACCAAACTCAAATCTTTTGTTTTGTTGAACTCAATCACAAATTGGCTGGTTGCAACTAGCAAAACGATCAAGAAAAAAAAAAAAAAATCTTCTTCTGCTATTTTTGTGGTTACCATTTCTCTGAAATTGTAAATTATTGAAAATTTTCTGAAAAGAAACAAAATTGAAGAGAACTTTCCATGCATGATATCATTTGGTGAAAGATTCAGAGGTTGAAGGAGACATGTAGGTATTTTTGTTTGGAAACTCCCCCCTGTGAATTTGGCCTTATATATGTTTAGAATCTTTGAATATTTATATTTTTCTTTGAAAAGGAATGAGAAACCAAACATGATTCTTATTTGATTTGGGAAATTCTCCTCCTGCTTTTTCTTTCCAAGTTTCACTTAAACTATTCACAATTATTAAGAAATTTATATTCTAAATTAAAATACTAGTAATATTTACAACTAATATCTTTAAAAAATAAAATAAAATAATTAGTAATTTAAACTACCTCTATTCACTACTAGTAATAAGAATAAATAGGATAATTAAATCAAACTGGATGTGGTACTACAAATAGAAACCACAAAAACTGTCCCTTTACAGAATTCATAAGGCCACAGGTGTCTTGGCAGTTGGCAGCATTGAGTTTCAGCTTAAGGAATTACTACATTCTAGTCCCCATACTTTAATAAATTGCAATGTTTAGTTAAAACTTTAGCCAAAAAAATCAAATCCCTCAACTTCAAAACTTAGTGCAATCAACTCCCATTAATTCTTAACTTCAACAACTAAGGGCATGTATAATGGAGAACAACTAAAATACTCATTTTGGTACCACATTATCACATTTAATATTATTTTATGTAAACTTTTTTATATATATTTAACTCTCAAATAGAATATCTTCTCTTCAATGCATACAATAAAATAAAATTTTCTCAAAAGTTGTATTATTATTACATTATTCCACCCACAGAGTTGATAATTAAAAAAAAAAAATTAGAAACGTAGGAGAAAGACCACGCGAAAGTCACAATTTCTCTACGGTTGAAATGATCGGCTAATACAATTTGACACTGTGTCAACTAATCAAAAAAATTTGGGCCAAAGGGACAAAAACAAATTTGGCAAAAACGAATTTTTTGACCAAGCTCAGCTCAATTCAACAAGCCTAGCTTGGTTACTATGCCTCCTTGATTGTTGCTTGTGTTTGAACTCTATTTTATTTTGGAAAAAAAAATAATAAAATAAAATCACATAAATGTTAAAATTTTTATACCATTGAAGTGACCAGTTAATACAGTTTAATACTATGTCAGCCAATCAAAAAAATTTGCCTCAAAAGAGGCAAAAAAAGAATTTTTTTATCGAGCTCCACTCAATTCAAAAAGCCTAATTTGGTTATTGTGCCCCCTCAATTGTTGTTTGTATTTGAACTCTATTTTATTTTAGGAAAAAAACAATGAAATAGAATGATATTGTACATACTTTAATGGAGTAAAGAAAAAGACAGAATTTCATGCTATGTTGTTAAGAAATTGCTACTAGATGCAATCCTTTCTCTTGTGCTTATTATCCTTTTTTAATTAGAATAATATATCTAATTTTTTAAAAAATAATTTTTACCTCTTAGAGAGTTAAAAGTTGAAGTTTCAAATATATAATTATTAAAGTAAAACTTTTGCTATTAAATTTTTTAAATTTGATAATTTTTATCCTTTCTTCATGTGAATTCACAATTAAGCACTTTTGTCAAATATTCTACTCAAATAGAATTTTTATTAAAACTATGGGTGTGGGAACACTTTCTTAAAATATCACTTCTTTTGTTTATTGATTTCAAAAATCAAAGGACTTGATTACTAAAAAACTAAGTGACTGCATTGTATTTTCTATAAAGGTAAGGGACTAGTTTTGCAGTTAACCCTGTAATAATTAAAAGCAGCATCCAAACGTGACCGTTGTTGATTGGGTAACCGGCCAACCGTTTCGAAACAAAGTTCAAACCAAGACATGAGTGTAAACGTGGACGCATCTTCTCCCCTAGATTTTTTTTTTTTTAATCTCAGTTGCACGACGAGATATAATTATTTTTGATCCTTTATCTTACTCTATCCGCATATCATGCGATTGAAATTTAAAATTTTTTATTTTTAACAAAAAAAAATTAACTACTAAATTATTTAAGTTCTTGACAGATTTCTCTTTTTAAATTACACCCTCTTTTTATGATATTTTATTATTTTGGTATTTTCCTTTACACCAAGGATGACAGCAAAAATTCATTGTAAATTTTACGTAAGAGAGCTGTTTTTGTAGTTTAGATTGGCATATGGCTGGTTATAACTATTATGAAATTTTAAGTGACTTAAATCATTAAATTTTTATTTTAATTTGATGTTTAAGAATAATAAATATAATTAATAAATAATTAATATTTATTATATAATAAATTAAAATTAATTTATAAATAAATATTTTTAAATATCATAATTAATTATTTAAAAAAATAATATAATACGTAATTTTAACAAAATTATATGTGATAATAACTTCAACCTTTAAATTATATCAAATTATTAAATATTAACCATTAAACAAAAGAACTCTCTCAATTGTTAGGAGACTACCCCTTCATTTAATGTTTAATATTAGATAGTATGAATAATTTTTTGATTTAATACTGTTGATATGATATCAAATAAATAAATACTTGTAAAATCATGAGTCCTATCCCATATTTTTTTTTTTGAAAAGCGAGTCCTATCCCATATTAAAAATGGTAATAATAAACTTATAAGATTATGTAATATTATAAATTTATAATTACAATATGCCGTTAAATAAATAAATAAAATTACAAAAATTTAATCATATAAATGAACCATTAAAATGATAAATTTACAATATTATTTGATATTATAATTATACCATCTTTTTTTAAGAAATAATAAAAATTATAATAAAATTATTATATAACAACATGTCATGGAATAAATGATAGATTGGTTTGTAATTTATGCTATATGAATGGTTAAATATCCAATGGTTAAATATCCAACCGTTAAATATAAATGAATTTTTTTATTTTGTATTTTTATGGTATAAATTAATGATACATTTATTATATTTTTTATAATTAATATGTATAAAAATTTAAATGTTAATTTTAAATTAATTAATTAATTAAAATTACCTATATAATAATATTATTAAAATAAAAATTAATTTTTATAATTTTTTAAATTAATTAATTATAAAAAATATATTTATTCAAACTTTTAAATGAAAAAAACATAATCTAAATATCTACCAATATCAAAGGCCCTTTTCTATACAGTTATTGAAAAGCTGCCCTCAAAACTTTTTTAAATTAATAATGTCGTCACTATAAATTTTATAAATAAAAATACTAAATAGTAAAAATCAAGGCACTTTCTTCTCTCTCCTTCCTCTCCCTCCTCTCCCTCTCTTTCTCAGTCTCTGGATAGATGGCAGATGTAATTCGATTACCGTTCCCCTCGTTTCATTCGCTCCGTTTTGCTTCCTCTTCCCTTCTCACCTCCTTCGCCTCCACCTCCACTTCACCGCCGCAGCCGGCTCTCCCACCCAATCACAGTTTAGTTAAGAAAATATCTGCTTCTTCTCCTCCTTCCGTCCGTCGTCTTGTTTTTTCATCTAGAAAGCAATTCCCGTCTTTCAAGGTTCGAGCTTTTTGGTTCCGTTTCGATTTATGAATGAAATTATGGGGACCCTTTTGTTTATTGTTTGTTTCTATAGTTTTTTATGATAATAAGGACGTTAATTGTGTAGTTTTGGGTTTAGTTTTTGATTTCTTATTGCAGAGTAGGTTGAAATTAGCCTTTTTTGTTTGTTGTTTACTCGAGCTGAATTTAAAAGCTTGGTGGGAAGTTATGATTTTTTATTTTGTTCTTGCTTTGAAATGCATTTGTTTGTTCCATGAATTTGTGATAATTTGCTGAACCTTTTACCATATTCTCCCTTTTAAAGGCTTATATCATGAATCCATAAGCTTCAGACAGCCTTGTGTTTCAATTTAGTGTGTGTTATTATACTTTATGTTTAGCTGTAAACCTGGTTTACTGCAGGCACACATTATGGATCACGGAACCAAATTTAAATATCTCTAACCTGCTTTAGCCTTGTATCCTCTCATATTCAACTTTTATTGTCAGTTTACTCTACAAATTCTTTGGCTAATGTAGTGAATTGATGAAATGTATGTAACACATGTATGTTGCTTGGTCATTTTGTTACTGTTCGGCATATTTTAGCTTCCATGCAAAATATTGTACTGATTTTCTTCATTGAAATTTGAAGAAAATTTATTTGATTAGTTTTTAAATTTATGGGGCAATATGATTGATCAAGTTCCTTTGCTTCAGGTACATGCTACTATTGCTGAAACTGAACAGCCAAAATGGTGGGAAAAGAATGCAGGGCCAAATATGGTAGACATTCATTCCACACAAGAATTTTTGAGTGCCTTAGCTCAAGCTGCAGATAGACTAGTTATTGTTGAGTTTTATGGAACGTGGTGTGCATCTTGCAGAGCATTATTTCCCAAGGTAACTCTCTAGTAGATACTTTTTTCTTTTTAATGTTATACTACATCCATTAGCATATGGGTCAGAATCTTTCTTCAGCATTCAACAAATTTATGCTATAGATAAATAAAGTGTGCTCTTGACTGCCTTAAGTAATTCTGGAGTGCATGCAGAATTGTAATTGGTATTTTGGTTAGAAAGAAATGAACTTACAAAGAAGAAGCAGACATGGTTTTAGGACTGGTAAGTTAAAAGCTCTTGATTGGTTCTAGGATTATGAGATCAACCATCAAGGCTCATCTGCTAGGATTATGTGATCTTAGGGAAAATCCTACTTGAGACTTCCTAGTCAAGTTAGGAACAAGGAAAAACCATTAGCGGTCAGACCTGATAATTTGGAGGACCTGGAGGTTTTGACTTTTGACAGAAAAATCAGACTCAAACTAGGCTCCAGAGATATTTAGAAACTGTATTCAGAATAGAATTGCATAAAATGACAAAATTTTTTCCAAAAGCTGAGGAACCCATTTTAATTCTGAAAATAAAGTTTCTAGCTGCTTATCACAGCAAAAATAATACGTGTCAAAGTCAGAAATATAGAATAAAAATAGATAATAAACCCTAAACAACAAGGTAAAAACAAGAGAACAACTCTGAACAAACAGGCTTTTTTTTTTTCTCCCCTTTCCTTTTCTTTTTTTAGAGCCATCCTGACGTGCTAGAGAAATTAGCTTTGTTCTCTATCTAGAACTTAACCAGATATCCCATTCTTAAAATAAAGATGACAAGCCTACTCCTGTAACATACGAACAAGTCTGCCCCAAAAAATCTGGCACATTCAGTTTCTACCCTACACAGCTACAATTTTAATAAAATACATTTGACATCTAATTTAGCAGATTTAATATTATGAATTTAAAAATACCTCTCCTTTTTTGGCTGGAATTATTTGGCTTGGACATTTTTAGGGTTGAACAAACCATTTGGTTGTTTTGAATATATTGAAGGCATGTTAAAGCAATGCAGTATTTGTTAAGTTGTAAACTTTTATCTAGTAGAAGGTTCTTGAACTCTAAAGATTAGTTCGTTGGTGGGGAGGGGTTGAATTCCCAGCTAACTTCCACATGAACTATTGCATGTTGAGATAAATATAATCACTAGCAATCTCTAGTGCTACAAATTCTCTTCTGATAAAGATCTAACACGAACTGAATATTGATATCCCAGCTCTGCAAGACAGCAGAAGACCATCCTGAAATTTTATTCTTGAAAGTAAATTTTGATGAGAATAAGCCCATGTGCAGAAGTCTAAATGTTAAGGTGCTTCCTTATTTTCACTTTTATCGAGGAGCTGATGGGCAGCTGGAATCCTTTTCATGCTCACTTGCTAAGGTCAGCACTTTATGCTCTCTCTTTTCTACTATTTTTATAGATGTGCTTCACTGTCGAAACCCACTATGAATCCATTAATTATTGACACATCAGTCGCCTGCTAAGAACCATGTCAAAATTCACCCTACCTAAAAAGGATGCTTTTACTGTAAAACTCTCCTTTCCTAAAAGCAGAGAACCATTCATGGTTCTAGACTATCTTCGTTGTTCAGCAGTAGGCTGAGCATTAAGACTAACCTTTCAGAACTCAAGATGAATGAATCAAAGAACTACAAAGAGTTTAAGCTTTGATTTGTGAAGTTGATGATGGAAGTTGGCTAGGAGTTGTTAAGATTTGCAACCATTGCATGCTAAGGAATCAATGATCTTCTGCTAGTCTATGATTCATGAAGGTATTCCAGTACGAATATCTGTCTTTTAAATTTTAACCACATCCGGTTCACGTTAACATCATTTGCAGTTTCAAAAAATAAAGGATGCTATTGAAATGCACAACACAGCACGTTGCAGCATTGGTCCACCAAAGGGAGTTGGAGACCTTAATCTTGAAGTCCTCTCATCTCCAGTCGACAAGCCAGCTGCATCATCTTAAATAAATGATTTAAGTTCAAGCATTTGTCTATAAATGTGAATTGCCAAGTGATGTTCCATGCCATTGGACAGCCATCACAAG